CGAAGCAGACAAAGTAGTGCAAAGCTTTGGGTCAGAAGTCTTGCGAAAAAGCAGTCCCGAACCCCGGAAGCTCTTGTGGCCGAGGAGTGGCGGGCAACTGCGAGAACGATGTTGATTCCTATCTGACGTCGGCATCTCTGGGGGCGCAACTTCACTTCGCACGTTGGGAGCCTAGCCAACTTGAGCCTCGCTTCTGGTCGCCAGTCCACCCAAGCGATCTTTCTCTTCCGCCGCACTTTGCTGGCCTTCCCGACTCTGACTGCGACCCCAGCATGCTTTCACAGGTATTGTCGACCGAGGATACATACTGTAGCTTTGCAGTGGGTTTGAATGTGGACGTGCCTGGCAATGCTCACCCTATCATGGGATACAGACGTTCTTCGCCACTCTCCGAACTTCAGGATGTTGCACAGGCATCCGGCAATTTTCAGACCAATCCAAGGCACTTTATCTCGTGCTGGCACAGTGCTTCGAAAAGCCTAGTTTCAGTTTCGTGGCTGAGTGACTCCAGCGGTCCTGTCTACTCGGTGGACCACGGCTGTGTCTGGGTTGAGGTCGTGGATGTCGCAAACGGCCAAATGCGCCGCATTGTCCTCGGGAAGGTTCCAGGCCTGGGCTTGGCTTCAAGATCTTTGAAGGGGGCCGGGACCGACAACTCTTTAGCAGAGCAGGGAATGCTCTTGACAAAGCGTGGAAGTTCTTCTGTGGCGACAGCACCAGCTCGCAAGCAGATGGAAATGCCCAGTTGCATTGCATGCTGCGAGATGGAGGACGGGCGTTTGGCACTTCTTTTTGCCGATTCGCATGTTCGCATCCTGGAGCTTCGGAAAGGGCAGCTGGCGGTTCAAGAAGCGCTCCATCGCAGCATGCGTGGCGCGGCCGGCAACACCGATGCCGACCTCGAGAGCGAGAGCGAGAGCCGAATTCCTGGCGAGTCGGAGGACGAAGCCGAAGATCTTGATGTCGACGACACTGAAGGTGAGGATATGGCGGATACGGAAGACTCGAGTGACGACAGATCATCCTCCACACCAGGAATGGTCGGAGGTTCGAGGGGCAAAGGTCGGCGTGGCCGCCGCGGTAAGCGTAGCAAGGGTCGACTCGGACGTGGACGTGGGAGCGGGGCGAGGCAACAAAGCTCCCAGCACGCCGGCGACGCAAAAGCAGCAGCTGGAGCCGGCAAGGTCCTCCAGAAGGCCAGGGAGCGAGCAATGCTCGCAGTCGGAAAAGAGAAGCTGGAGCTAGAGCTCGCTGACCTGGACATTGCCAAGTATGACGAGCTTTTCCGCACAGTGGAGAAGGAAGTGACGCAATTGCGGGTGATTCTCCAAGCGGTGGAAGCAAAAGAAAAGGAGAGGACCTGGCTGCGAGGAAAGACCATAGGCGAACTGGATGACAGCAAAATTGTGGATTTTGCGATTGGCGAGAAGAATGTTTTCAAGCACCGTGGTCAACGCGAGGACCCGTCCGTGGCGCAAGCCCTTCCAAAGCGACTCTCATTCGTGGTTGACGTCAGTGGTTCGATGGCAGTTTTCAACGGCGATGGACGGCTTGATCGGCTTTGCGCCTCCATGGTGATGGTCATGGAGGGTTTGTTCGGGCTGGAGCACAAGTACATGTATGAGGTCGTGGGCCACAGCGGTGAGACGGATTGGCTGCCCTTTGTCCAGATGGGCAAGCCTCCACGCAATCGGGCAGAGCGCTTTGCCGTAGTTAATGCCATGGCAGACCATGCTTCTTTCGCCCGCAGTGGTGACAACACGCTTTCGGCTGGCATCAGAGCAATGACTGAAATTATCAAGGAACAGGCAGATGACTATTTTGTTTTCCTGGTTTCAGATGCGAATCTCCGAGGCTATGGCATATCGCCGCAAGATTTAGCGACCGCTTTGACAAGCGACCGGAGGATCAACGCTCATGCTATATTCATAGCAGAGCCAGACGTGGCGCAAGAGATGAAGTTGTCGATGCCTGTGGGTCACGCGCATCTGGTGCTTGACACCGAAGGCTTGCCACTGCTTTTGAAGAACATTTTTGCGAAGGCTGTGCTCACAGGCCCGTCGAGCAAGCTGTAGTGTGTGGCGACGGCAAGGTTGTCTCAAGGCACCCCTCGCTTGCAGAGCAAAGGCTAGGCAAGCGGAATGGAGCAGAATGCTGGAAAACTGCGCGTTATGGACATGGACGGACGTGAGCCGTCACTGGTTCGATTTGGATAGGGCCGCCCGCCAGGCAAAGTCGAGCCTCCGTGGAGTATGAAGATGACGTGGAGTTAAAGGTTGTGCGGCATGTTTCTACGTGTGCATGTGTTATTCATCGGATGGCCAAGTGAAGGTCTCTTTCAAGGATTTAGATGGAGCTTGCGAAGAGCTCATCGAGTACGAGGCAAGGCCCGCATAAATGCCTAGATTCGGAGACTGCTGTGTTTCTGTGCAGCCTGTGCAGACTGTATAGCCCTTGCCGTTGTAAAGGTGGGATCTTTTGTTTCCGCCATGCCATCGTCTGGAAGTAGGTCCGAGCTTGGGCCATCGGATTTCCTTCAATTAAGGATGATTCCGACGTCATGCAGGGTCCAGTTCCAGCGGAAATCTGGATGGTGCACGCGGTGCCGAAGACTGCTGTGTTTGCCTAAGTCAGGGGATGTCTGGGACGCTGCATTCCACGTGCCTCGTCAAGTGTGCTGTGACAGGTCGTCAGCGACAGCTCGGCCAGAGGAAGTTGTGACAATCATGCGTGGCTACTTCTGGAAGTTCAATACGGGAGTGGAGCTTTCGTCCGAAAGCCTTGGAAAGTTGGCGAACTGGCGCAGGCCTCGCCAATTAGACTTGGCCTGTGCATGTCGGCAAGATTACTCGATGCATCTTCAGGCGGATCTTTTGCCTGCAGCGAAAGTCCGCGACGACGGCCAGCAGCTCAGCGATCCCCAGAGTTTCAAAGCATAGCCTGTCAGCATCGGAGGTCATCACGTACCTTTCTGAGCACCTAGGCAGTTTCAGCTTTCGGACATGCAGGAAGGACCTGCTTGTTTCTGCCGGTAGGCTGCCGGTGTGAGTTCCAAGGAAAGAAAATGGCGTCCTGCAGCTGGCGTGCGTAGTCCAGGGCCCTCATTTTCACATTTGTCCTTGGCCGCCCGGATGTAGAGTTATGTCACGGGCATACCTGAACTCTGTAAACTAGTGGAAACAAGTTTGCCGCCTGCAACGCCAAGGCGGCAAACTTGCAGAGTGTCGAGGCTGTCAGGGCCAGGGGTGGAGCTGGAAGTGCCCGAGTCGAGCAGAGAAGTAGCCCGGCAGGAACAAAGCTGTTATTGGCGCTCACCGAGATACGTTCGTTCAACGTATACCTAGGAACTTTACGACTCGATGCGGCAGTACGACGTGGCTTTTGCTGGAAAGGCGATGAGTTCCAGCTACGCCTCGCTCATTCCTGAACGCTCCACGGCCGATCACTGTCTTGTAAGTTCCGCGATGATCGTGTCGGTGCGTTTGGCCGCTGTAAACGGTGGAAGGAAGTTTTGCTGACTAGCTAAGCAGCTAAGGCTTGCAGGTGCTATGCTTCCGACAATCGCAGGATGCCATGGAGCCCTCTCTGATACTCGGGGCTCGTCCAGATGCTCGAGCGAACACTGGGCCGTGTCATGAACGACATGCAAGACATAGTGTGTGCATGCGTGCACGCATGCAGCCAAACTTGTCTTCTAAGGAGTTGATGCGGGTGTGGGAAGGGGTGCTGCAAGAAGCAGTCCCGTCCCTGCGTATCGATTTGGACATGCCTGGGGGGCTCAAAGCAAGCGCCCGCGAGGCTTAGAGGCAACAGCCGGCAAAGGCTTTCTTGTGGCCGCCGTGTTTCGGCCTACATGGCCGCATCAACTTCGATTTTCATAGACGGCTAGGCTGACGAAAAGGATCTCGCCGGGCATGGAAGGGCAGCATGGTTCAGAACTGTCAGTTCGCCCGAATGCAGGGGGCCAGAAGCCCTTGGGCCACCTGGGCCCGACGCTAAGGAGATCATGGAGAGGAAGGGGCGACCCATCAAATGCACCAGCTGTATCCACGAAAGGTTCCACCACGTCGGCCCCTGCACGGTTTCACCTGGCAACACGTCGTCGTGCGTTGTGCGCACCTTGTTTTTCCACGTGGTAAAAATGCCACTTCGCAGGCAGGTGCAGTAGGAAGCGACCATGACACTGAGTGATCGGGCTGCCTCCCAAAGGCCAAAGACCGCCCAACAGCATCCGACAGGCAGTAAAACGCGAAACTTCATGAGCGCGCGCGGTTTCTGCAAGGAGCGAGATCTAAGTAACGATCAGAGTGCTGCAAGGAGCTGCCTGTGCAGTGGCTGCGGAGCATCGGAATTCAAAAAAAGATCTCGCGACCAGGGCAACCCACATATCCCACATCTGTGTGGTACAGAGCCTTGCGGCAGGGTACTTGCTGGGCGGGCTTGTTCTGCTATGAAGTGCAGATCGCAAGAACGCAGCTTGCAGCTTCTGAGTACGGACAAAGGAAAGCTGAGTTGTTGGCTCGATGCCGCGACTGCCAATTGTGGAGTCTGCACTTGGGGAAGGTTTGGTCTGCTTTGGAGCACCTGGCTGCATCGCAACGCGGAGTCGATGGAGCAAATTCTAGCAGAGCGCAGGAATGGATGTGCCGCCAACAAAGATGGATGTTGGAAAATGGGCACACTTGCTGCGCCCACGAGAGATGTATGCCAAAAAAAATGTCGGACACGTAGCTCTTTGATGCTCTTTGTGGGTGCTGGGCGAGGTAACCGGGTAACCCTTTAAATCGATTGCAGCTGTCAAACGGCTTGATGTAGCAGAAAGACCTTACCAGACAGAAACAGCACTCAGGCAGGTGAGGAAGCCAAGGAAGATACAACAAAACATGTGGTATCCTGGTGAGCACGAAGTACATACCGTCTGGTACAGCATGGACGAGAAGAGCAACACTCGTGGCTTGTGACGAGCCCTGCATGATGCCCTCCTGTAGTCGGCCGGCACAATGTCATCGCGTCTTGGATGGCATCGGCAGCACAGCATTGCTGGGAAGTTGCTCGAGCCTTCTTCGTGAGGTTTTATAATGCCAAAAGATGGCAGGAGGGAAAGCAAGGCACGGTGCGTTGTTCGTGTCCGCTGGTCTCGCAGTCGGGAAGGGTGAATTGCAGACGACCATTGAAGGCCCTCCACCAATTTTCTTGTCGATCGGTGTCCGCCATCCTAACCAGATTCAGCTGGACATTGCAATCAGGGAGCAGGTCGCCACGAGTGTTTCCGGATGAAACAGTCTACCCGGCGTCCCTCCCAGGAGACATTGCAGAAGCTCTTTGACCTGGTAAACCAGGCGCGACGACGCTCACATGCCAACATACCTTCGTCTGACTTCTTCGGCTATTCCGTGAATCAACATCAGCTTATTCGCCAGGAGATCGAGCGCTTCGATGCGGGAAATACTGTAATCGCGGTTGCTCAGATTCCCAAAGTGGAACAGGAGCTGCCTGAACCCAGTGCAGCTGATATCGTCCTTCAGACCTGAGCGTTGACGGCAGGACCCGCACCTTCTGCCATTCTGGCACAATCGGGTCTGCGCCTTGAGTTCTCCAACAGTTCTCCAAGCTGGAGGGGGCCGCTATAAAGCTTTGGGAAGCGCGTGTGCCATCAAGTGAATTCTGGCAGTTTTCTGTAGAGAAAAGAAAGCAACGCATGCTTCCGCCGCGTGTTGCAGCATTCAGGCTTGGATGGCCCTGCAGAACCGCGTGAAGAGCTCCATGTCTCGACTTGAGCCGCGAGGTGGTCAGACAGTGCAGTCGATTCTTGCAGGGTGATGGTGCGGCCGCAGGCTATGCTGATGGCATGCAGAAAGTGCAAACAGAAAACCAGCTAAACCTGATCGCCAGTTGCACTGGTGGCCCTGCTGTTTCAATTGCACACTAGACGGCCAGGTATGTGATTCGAGTGGGGGCTCATAGTCACGCGTGCTGTTGATGTCTCTGCTCCGTTATCGAAAACTACATGCTTGCGTGTGTACTTTGTTATTTTCCGTCTGACCGGTCTGCAGGCTTGTCCATGCTGGCGTATGCTTTGGCCAGAATCAAGGATTGGGAGGACCAAGAACTATGCTTCGCTGTCTAGAGCCAATGCACAGACTCAGCACAGTTTGCCAGGATCCGTCTATGCTTCAAGCACTGCTAGACAAGTCTTTGGCAAGAATCGATGATTTCGGTCCCACGGATGCTGCTAAGCCCTTCGGCTGCAGAAGCTCGTTGGCCGACCAGGGGTGCAATTGACTCCAGCCCTCGGCTGCAAGAGGCTCGCATGGGTTTTGGCAAAGTGTCTTGGAAGCAGTCGTCGAATGTTGGTGCAGCTCTGATAAAATGCGGTTTGCGTGGAGGGAGTCCTTAGCAGGCTCCAGATCCGCGAGCGTGGAGACCTTTGGATAGCGCTATCCAAAGAAGCGGCACGCAAGATTTGTGACTCGGTGGCCAAGGCAATTTGCTTTCCGGTCTCTTCCTTGCAACAGCCCAAGTGCCAGGCAACTCCGGCAGATTCATCGACATCTCCATGACGGCTTGGGCATTTGCAAAAGCCGGTATGGCAGAGCGAGTTCTTTTCGGCCAGTTGGCTTCGGCTGCAATGGATTGTAGTGACCTGCCGCCGAAACTCTGCTGAACAATTAACAAGTCCGAGCTAGCACAACGGTGCAGGCTCAGTTCAGTCACGAGTTTGCTTCCGAAGCATCAGAAAGGCTGTTGTCCATGTTTGCGTGAACACAGCTACTTTCAAGAGGTCAATATTTGGGCTGAGGCACACCATTGCAAACTTGTGCTGGGCTTTCGCGAAGTCCAAGAACCACAATCCGCCTCTTTTCGACATGTGCCCTGGCTGTTGTTGTTCCACGCCATGTGTGTCCGACGACTTGATCGGTTTGCTGCGCGTCTTGGCGAGGCTAGCAAAGCGTGCCATTGAATCCTACTCATCGTTTGATCGTCAAAGTGTGGCATGCCAGCAAGCTTAAATTCCCCTTCTGCCGAACGACGAGCTTGTGTGGTCACCATCGCAGGTGTCCAACTTGGTATGGGCATATGCAACCCTCGATGTTTGCCACGAAGAACTGTTTGCAGTCTTTGCGAACTACACCGTGGCACGGCAGCAAATAGTCAGAGAGAGGCAGAAAAGCGCAAAGATACTCTGGACATCTCTGGACCGAGCGACATCAACCCCACAGCGGAGACACCAGCGGAGCAAGAAGAAGAAGAAGAAGCCAGCGAAGGCACAATGGCCGTGGGGGCCGGCGGGCAGACCCTCGTATAGAGAGGCAAGTACAAGGCACCTAGCACAAAGGCCGACCTTTCGCCCCGCAACCTCTCCAACCACATTGCTGAACCCTGTTTCGGGCGCTTGCGCTTTCACAGGTGGCCCGCCTCCAGGCATTGGCGTGGGGCGGACGGTGACGCCACTTCATCATAGTGGGATCCTGACCAGACGGGGCACGAGACCATGCGCGAAGCCAACACGTCATGCGAGAGTTGCTCGACGATGCGGAGGGGTGGGGGCCACGCGCTACTCGCGATCGTGGCCCGCCAGTGGGACTCACGGGAAGAGTCGGGTACAGGGAGCGGTGCAAGTAGCCAAAGTGTTGGGGCAGTGGGGGAACGGAGAGCAGGCTTTGGCTCGCGGCTCGCGGTTGGTCACCGCGACACCGGCAGCACCCAGCAGGCCGACACCATCCCCAACACGCGAAGGCAACGGCAACTCAGGAGCCCCACATCCTCCCGTGTCCATGGCAATCCCTCCGCAGCGACCCACAACACCGGATGCCACCCTCAAGAACTGGTGCCAGCTGCCCCAGACTATCACGGAGCAGATCCGTTCAAGAGAGGGAAAAATAATACCGAGTCAGAGATACGAACATTTTTTTGCGCCCGAGGCCATCCGAGGCTTTACCAAACCCGATGGTAAAGCATGGAACAGTCATGGAACGAGGTGGCGCCTTCGGTGATGACAGCCCCACCGCCACTGGGGGGAGGAACGGGCCAAAGGAGGGAATGACGTGGCGGCAGCAGGGGGCCAAAGAACCCATCACTCCACCATCAAAGCGCTGGGCACAAACCAGGAAGGAGTGTGAGTATGAGCATGGCCATCTTCGTAAGGCTTCTTTCTCATCACTGAAGTTAATGTACGAGAGCAGGCCAATGTGCCTGAGAATTACTGTCGCTGTCCTCAAACCTCGCCTGACTTCGTCGAGCGCGAGTGCCAAAAAAGGCTTCTCAACCCAGACACGGGGACCGGAGGCAGCTACGCAGGTACAGCTGACCCACGCAGATGCTGGGGACAGAGCAACGCACCGAACCTGCCCCACCAGACCAGGATGCGGCAGCAGGCGAGCAGGGGAGCCATCGGACCCGTGCGGAAAAGGGGCCGAAGTGCACCCGGCGGACGTGATAGGCCATGCTGCAGCGGAAACAAGGCGGACAACAGCCACTGCAAGAGGCGGTGCCCTTCCTCGAGCGGGGACAGTCGAACTGCGTAGGATTGCGGTTGCACTTACCGGCTGGTGCGTGGAACAGCTGCTGGGGTGCAGAGGCGGTGCTCAGCCCGCTGAGCAAGGCCATGGAAGGCGACTGATGTAGGATTTACTTAATTGTGCGTGGGGAGGTCGCCCTTTCTCCTGGCTATCTAGCGGTTTGTATTTTCTGTGTGGTTCAGTGGGGCCTGCTTCTCTAGTAGACTCTAGTTGTCATCAGGGGACTTGTGCCGGACCTTGGAAGTCGTAGCGCGATGAGGCCGGGATGACCGATGACCCACATGCAACAGAAGTTTCCGTTTGAAGAAGGTTGCAGGTGGGGGAACGGCAAGCTCCTATTCGGGGCCGAACAGACTGCCATTTGCGCACCTTAGGGGTAGGCCTTCGGGCCAAGGGGTTGCGCGCGGCCCCTATACCTATAGCAGGCAAGCAGGCAGGCAAGCAAGCAAGCACGCAGGCAAGCAAGCAAGCAAGCAGGCAAGCAAGCAAGCAAGCAAGCAGGCGAGCAAGCAAGAGAAGCCATGGAGGCCTTCCGGCCACCAGAGAAAAGAAAAACTAGGGACATCAGGACAGAGCTTCTGGACCATGCCATGCCAGATTTTTCGGGATGCTCACTTGTCTGCTTAGATCGAGAGCGGCCTTTGGCGGCACTTCTCTCCACAGATGGCTTCCAACATGTTGTGGGCGTATGGGAAGGTGCAGCTGCTCTGCTGTTGCTCTTAAACTTTCCATCATCTAGCTGGGGCTGCTTCTGTTGACCATTTTGGCGACGTCCGTGCCGTAAGCTCGGTAGGTCGGCATTGCCCACATGCGTCTCTACGACACCTTCGCCGAGTTCATCTCCATAAACATCGATCTTTTTGACAACCAGTCGCTCGGGAGAGACTTTCAATTCAGTCAATTTGAAGTTCGTGAGTTCGTCGTGGTCTATCGTGGTGACGGGACGGTGCAGACTGCCTCGAGCGCGCATGCCAAGGAACATCGCCAACTCTGCATGGGCATATGCAACTACGCAGCTCCCCAGTTTCTCGACGTTGAGTTTTCGGGGTGGCTGCTTTCCTAATCCGATACACTCTGCGGACACTGAAAGCGTACTTTGCTCGTGAGTTAACAGTGAGGCAAAGAGGTGTTCGACACTCTGACGCGCAAAGCTTGTGGACGATTGAGTACCTTTCGCCTGGATGAGTTGTGCGGGCTTATGCGCCTGCAACTGCATATAGCTGTAGGCGACATCATGCGTTGCAGAAAAGGTGTACAGTGAGGAACGGATGAGGGCTTCTCTGGCTGTTGGGCAGCATCGGCCCAACAACCATCCAACAACTCAGGTGGGCCTATGTGAGAGCGAAGCCAGACACCGTGCCTTGGAAGAATCGTGGGCAGACCCGTTTTGATGCACAAGGGTTCAAAGATGTTCCAAGCCTGTGGCAAGGTTGCAGCCAGTATGATCTTTGAAGAGTCCGTAGAGTTGCTGCAACCTCGAGTGGCAACACTGGATGCGCAAAGTGTAGCAAATGTGCGGCGCCCCGGAATTTTTTCTCAGATCTAGTAACTCGTGTGAAGATGAGGCTTGAGGTCAGACCTCCACAGCAAAGGTCATCTGGATCTTGGCTACTTGTCAGCAGCTTCGAGGGCAACCGGTTCCTGGCTCGCGAGGTCTGGTGGCCCGGGTCCTACGTTTTGTTCGCTTCCTGTGCAGCCAGTGTGTGTTCGTGCGCACACAGCTTTCGTGTGTGGTATACCTACCTTACCAGCCTTATCCCCAATGCCGTGCCGACAAGTTTAATAATGGCTTGGCATTGCTTCCGGCTCGAGAGAATGCGACAAGATGGGCCCGATCGTTGATGAATTTTCCACGGGGCCTGTAGTTTGTAGCATTGTAGCGTTTATGCGATTGAGACCGGGATCGTAAAATGGCGCAGCTCATTGCGGGCAAGTTCCAGGTCTCCGAGAAGATTGGCTCTGGATCCTTTGGTGACATCTACATGGGTGTGAATGTGCAAACGGGTGCACCCGTTGCTATCAAGCTTGAGTCCGTCAGGGCACAACATCCTCTGCTGGTGTTCGAGTCCAAGCTTTACAAGCTGATCTCCAATGGTGTGCAGATTCCAGCAGTGCACTGGTACGGGGTTGAAGGCGACTACAACGTGATGGTCATTGACCTGCTGGGGCCATCGCTTGAAGATCTTTTCAACTATTGTGACCGCAAATTCACACACAAAACAATCGCGGCAATTGGCCAACAGATGATTGATGCTATAGAATACGTTCATTCTCGAGGATTTCTGCATCGGGATATCAAGCCGGAGAACTTCTTGATGGGTGTTCAAAAGAAGGCAGGCGACGTGTACATCATTGATTTTGGCTTGGCCAAGCGGTACCGGAATCCGCGCACGAGCCAGCACATTCCCTTTCGCAATGACAGAAAGCTGACAGGGACAGCTCGCTACGTTAGCATCAACACACACAGAGGTATCGAGCAGAGCCGCCGAGACGATCTCGAAGCCATTGGCCAGGAGCTGAGTGTGGAACAAGTACCGAAGAACACTTTTAGCCTTCCCGAGAGTGTGTGTTGCAGGAGAAGAAATCAAGCCGTCGCACTGTGTTGCCTGACTGAGGCTACGTTTTGATGTATTTCTGCCGCGGCAACCTTCCCTGGCAAGAAAGATATCTGGGAGGGCTTAAAGGTGGTACCAAGGAGGACAAATACAAACGAATCTTGGACAAAAAGGAGAGTACATCCCTGGAAATCCTGGGCAAGGCGGCTCCACCTGAGCTGAATGCCTATCTTAATTACGTGCGTAATCTGTCCTTCGAAGATCGGCCTGACTATGCATGGTGCCGTTGGCAGTTCATCATGATCGTAAACCGGGAAAGTGCGGGCGGCTTCGAACGCCTCGGTGATTGGGATTGGGATTCGCGGTATGTCCATGAGAAGGAGGAAAATGCGGCGAGATATGGCGATGCAGCGGTGGATCACGACTTGTCCTTAGCAGACAAGCTTCGCCGGGATGGAGATCGGAGCCGAAAGCAGGCTCCGATCTTCCACAAAACAGGCGACCAGGCAGAGACTGCAAAGCAGGGGCAAGATGCCCAACCGGCTGCAGATTCACGTTCCGGTGAGGGAGGGCGAGCCTCAGATGCATCCGGCAACGAGGGGGAGCCCACAGCTGCAACGATTGGAACTCCAATCTCCAGAGGCCCGAAGTATTGGGCTGAGGGCAAGCTCACCAAGGCAGAAGATGAAAAGCCAGAGGTTGTGCAGTTCAACAGTCCTATTGGAAGTGCTTTCACAATCGGACGTGCGGCAACGAATGATCTATCTCTGGGCGTACCTGCAGTTAGCGTGGCACATTGTAGCCTGAGATTGCAGGATGACGGTGAGGCCGTCGTGCTAGCGGACACTTCGCTCAACGGCACTTTCATCAACGGAAACCTGGTGGGAAAGGGCAATGAAGCCGTAATTCCGAATGGTGCGGTGATCACCTTCATTAAGAACAAGTCTTATCCACAGCTGGTTCTTCGCATGAAGACATGATGCGAGCATAGACAACGTCTTGCTCCATGGTGAGCCGGTTCTTTCCTCCAGCTTCGCTGAGTAAATATGTCCAGAAGTTATGCACGGGTGCGTCGGCTTCAAGTTTCCACAGTTTCACTGCAGAGTGATTTTACAGATGCCACATAAAGAAGTTGCTGCATTCGCTTTTGTGGCGTAGGCACAGCGAGTGCATGTATCACGGGTCGCAGGCTTGACCTGGAAACAGGCATGCTTGACCACTTCCCAGTCAGAGAAAAGGGGTTGCCCGGTGCAAACTTGTCAACATCTGCGGTCATCTGCGGAACCAAGATCTTTGTGACTGACAATGGGTGGTTTGTGACCTTAAACTGGATCAAGGCTCCTGTGCAAGGGTATGCATGCATGTCTTTGCATCGATAGAGCAATAGTTACTAGCTATTTGGCAGGCGTTTCAGAGATGGTGCTGTAGCCGGCTGTAGCCAGCTTGCTTTGGGAATGCGCCTGCACTGGAAACTTCTGAGCTTCGACAACCGGTTCGGGGACGCTATTGAGAACCGCAATGGGATCTTGCGCACGTCAGACACCAATGCCAGAAGTATTGGACTTCTTTGAGGGCCCTTGCGATGCATCGGTTTTACCTGATCCCGGCAGTGGACTCGATGGTCAAGTGCTTGGGGATCGAACTGCCGGCCTGCACAACCTGGGCAACACATGCTTCATGAACACTGCCCTGCAATGCTTGGCAAATCTCCCAGACATTCGAGAAGTGATTTCGGCAAAGCAAAGCCAGCCGGCCTTCAGTGACCCAGTTGTAGACGAATTTCACAAGCTGATGCAAGCCTTGTGGGATCACAGGTCGGGCCCGGTAAGCCCTTCAGCTCTCAGGGACAGCATCAGCCGCTGCACCTCTTCGTTTGCTGATTGGGAGCAGCACGATGCGATGGAGTTTGTGGAGTTCCTTATAAATCGCCTTGCAGAAGGATACAAGGATCAAAAGGAGCCGGGGGAGGCAGCTTTCTCTTCATTGCAAGACGGTGGCCAAGGCAGCCATACAGCCACTTCCCAGCTCCAGTCCTGCCGTGAGCTTTGCGCCCTCAGCTTGTTTTCGGGATCTCTGAAAACCACCATCACGTGCCCGGAGAACAGCTGCCGCACCAAGAGTGCAAAGGTCGAGTCGATTACATCTGTCAAATTGCCAAGCATTGACCCTAAACTCAGCGAGCAAGACAGCGTAGCAGTCGTTGTTGTGCCTGCTGCTTCCTCTGAATCACCCATCGTGGAACATAAAGTGTTTGTCGAGCGTTCTGCTACGTTTCGAAAGCTCCTGGACAGAGTGTCGACAAAAGCCAAGCTTGCACGCAATGTATGCTTGTGTGCAAGTTTGGAGGACGGTCGCCTGCAAATCTGCTCTGAAGAGGATGGTTTGGGAAGAGAAGGCAGAGGTCCCTTCCTTGTCTATGAGCTGGAAGCTGCAGACGAGGCTCTCTGCGTGAAGCTTCGCTCTGGTAAAGGGGAGATCTCAGGTGACGGCGAGCGAAGGGTCTGCCCCGATGACGGTGTAACATATACGTTTCATGAGTTGAGGGCAGCCTTCGGATCGGAGTACTCCGCCGAAGACCTTCGATCTTATTGGTGCGATGCGATGGCCTTGGCACCATCTGCCGTACCGGCTGGTGCACAGTCCGCAGTCATCGTGCACTGCCGCCTGGACAGCCTGAGGCTGGGCTCAGAAAGTAGTAGACGTCTGTTTCCTGCGAGCGGCTGCGGATTGCTTGCTTTGATTCCCAACCTGAGGCAAAACGGTCGCATCCTTGTGGGGTTGCCGTTGCTGTTTGCCATGGAAGCTTGTCGGATTTAAGAATGTGCCGAACACGACAAAATGGAGGTTGATGTCTATAGAATTGTGCAGTCTCCTAACGTCGAATCTGTGAGGCCGTATAATCGTGGCTGCAACGTTGACCGTTTTCTTAAGATAGAAGCAGTGATTGTGGATTGGTGTGCTCCTCAGGACAGAATCACAAGTCAAGCCCAGCTTGTTGACGCCATCAGGGTGCAGTTGATGCTAAGATACAAGCTGGAGGATGCTTCAGGCTGGAGTTTGTACCAGACGAGTGCCGGCTGGAATGCTGCCAAAGCTGACACACTACTCGGACACGAGGCCTCGCCCAACAGTGACCAGCTCGCGCTCCGTGAATGCGAACATCTCGTGGTGCACTGGGGGTATCCTGCCCAGCCTGCCCCGGACCAGTTGCTGTCAACATGCAACAAAGTCACAGAGGATGCTGAGGATATCTACAGTCTGTACAGCTGCTTCGACTGGTTGACAGCGACACAGCAGCTCTCAATAGACAATGCTGTTCTCTGTAATGGGTGCCAGCAGAGGGTAGAAGCCCTGAGTAAAGTTCAACTTGCGGGTGCACCTCCCGTACTGGTCTTGCACCTCAACCGGTTCGAATACAAATATGGACAACGCAACCGGCTCTTTACTTCCATACATTTTCCAGTTGATGGCCTGGACTTGACCCGATTTTGCACCGCATCTGATGAAGAAGGAAGTGTCGACCAAGCACCTCCCATTTATGATCTGCTTGCCACCATCATCCATGCGGGAAGTGCCTGCATTGGACACTACACATCGTGTATCCGCTCATGGCGAGGAGTCTGGTATCTCTACAACGATGAGACAGTCAAGCAAGTCTTGGCAGATGATGTCCAAGACACACGGGGCACTTACGTGCTATTCTATCTCCGCCGAGATCGGCGGCCTGAAGGTTGGGGGAGCCTCTCTTAACTGCATGTGGCAATGGCTCCAAGCGCCCGCAAACCAACTGCCACCCACCACCCGATCTTGCGGAAGCTCCCACGAAGCGTCGGCGGCGTGGTCACAACAGCGGTGCAACTGATGCCTTTGAGCTCGGGAGTGCATCGGCAGGCCGGGATCCAGCAGGGCATCCTCAGCATAAATGAGCGTGGATCCACGCAGGCCAAGAAAGGATATCGGATAGCAAGACACAGCTTTACAGTAAATTCGCGCCTGTCGAAAAAGCGTTGATTGAATTGTCCTGTTTGTGCAGACCACACAGAGTCGCATCATGTCGCATCGAGCACGGTTCGTGGGTGCGTATGTGTGTGCGTGTGTGCGTGTGTCTTTGTGTTTATTGGTGTGGGTGCCAAGGACAGTCTCATGGTAGCATTGCCCTGAGAGATGGTCTTGCGATGAGGTCGAAGCCAACTTATGACATGTCCAGAATGCTCGCCAAGGCTTTGTTGGACCTTCGTGTTCGGCTGGATTCCGAGGGCGCTGCTCAAGTGGTTTGGTCACTGTGGCGCATGGGACTGACCCTGAGAAAAGCCATCGCATGCAGAAGACTGACTGCACCGATTTGCCAGCAAGATGTCGCTGTCTACACTAGGCCGCTTCCATGATGCTTGGACGCTTTTCGTTGCTTGGTCGCGTTTTGTTTCAATGTTCTTCCGGAATCTTGTCCTGCCCCAGGTCCGCACGCTAAGCGACGGCCGCCATCCGGAACACGGAAAGACTGGCTACACAAAAAAGCATGCTGTTGATGGACGGCAGTTTGTGACTCAGCTCTGGCTTGCGAGGTTCCTTTCAGCAGATGACACTCGTAGCAGGCGTTACTATCAGACGCTGCTCATGGAGACCGAGCGCCGAGGAGATGTGCAGAAACAGGCTCTGAGATATCTCATCGGCCACAGTGCTTGCTTAGCAACAGGCTTAGGAGCCAGCATGTGCCACAAAGCATGTCGAGGTCTTTCTGTGGAAGCAGATGGCAGCTGATTTCTATTCGCGAAATCTGCGCACCGCGTGCCTGAACTGTGCCATTGGCTGCAGCGAGTTGGATGCACCTGGTGTGCGTGTGCAGGACGGTGCTGTGGAATGACTGCTCAATGGGAGAACTGTAGCTTGCTGGGTTCAAGTTGGGGCGATTCTTTCTATTGACGGGGAGAGCTACAGTCCCGTAGCTTTGGTGTGCGGCTGCCCTGTGCCCGTGAAGCGCTGCAGTGCTGTGGCTTTCTTGCAAGCCCTTACCTGTATTCTGCTTGTTGTGGGGGCCGGGGAGAATAGATATAGGAGAACAGAGGAGATTAGTTGCGACTGTCAAGTTAGAGCGAAGACGGAATGGACGAGCCACTTGCATCTATTGCCAAAAACTCGGCCCAAGAGTGATACCACTCCGCTCCGATTCTATCCGCCTTAGCGAGGCACGGCAGGTATTAGCAAGCTTTTCGTCTGGACCTGCTATTTCCACATTGTGCTCGCATATGGGCGTAGGGTTCTTGCGCAGTGGAACTGTTTCCTTGGAGGGGAATATTGGAGGTTTGTGCATATGGTGATATTGCACTCATTTCATTGGGTGGGAAGCCGAGGAAACATCTTGCACTGCGACCCCCTGTACTTCCTTGCTGGCTCCTTAAGTCTGCAGAAAATCGGTCTCTATTTGCTGGGGAGTGCCAGCTACTTGTAGCTGCTTTCCTTCCTCAGGAAATGAATCCATACCGCGGCGAGCAGAAGCTCGGAAGATTTACATGGGTGCTTGGTGCACAGAGCCGAATCCAGCACGACATGTCGTTATCGTGTTCTCCAAGGCAAGGCTTTGCCCCTGAGAGTTCGGGCTTGTTTGGTGGAACCTTGTCTTCGGTTGGCATACTCTGAGGCCCCATAGGGGCATTGAACTCGGGCATGCTTGCATGCCTGAGGTTATGAGGCAATCCAATCATTCAACAAGGGACTGTGGCTGCCCATGCCCAAGCGGAAAATGAATTTCGTTCCGATGATCGTGTGCTCGCCTGAGATCTCTTCTGCTCGGACTCGCTTGGGTGCATGTGCGAGATCGAGTGGCTCTGATTGCGACAGGTGCTCGCTGGTTCCTTGGGCGCTGTTCGTGCTGGTGTACAGTTCTTTGGCAAACAGTCGTGAAGTTACAGCTGAATGATGCTGTGTGCATCGATGAATGAAACAAGCTCAGGCCTCATGGCCTTCCAGTTTCACTACAGTCAGCCAACGCTCTGCAACATCGTCGTCTTTGTTTTGCTGTTCTTCGTCTTGGTAATTGGCGTCAAGGCGGGATAGGTCCTCGCCTGGCATCTTCACGAGCTGCTCACACTGCTCTGCCGCACAAGGCATTGACGGGACGCTTCAGGATCTTCAGCGGCGTGCAGTCGGAAAGAGAACCGCTATCGGCCCAGATCGGTGCAATGATCCGGTTCGGCTGTTGCACTGTGTGGTTTCGGTTGCTGGCCTTAGAAGCCTTAGGAAGGATTTTGCAAGATCCTTGCACTGTTGTTAGAGCTGTGGAATGACAAGGTCTTGGATGATCTTCTTCGCCTTCTCACTGCTCCTTGCATGGGTTGTCGGCTTCGTGCAGGGCGACCACAACTTCTCGACGAGCACGGGGTGCCTTCAGTCAACAACTTTTCAGGTAATGCAACTGTCGCACGTGCAAGCGCAGCACAGCACTTCACCAGAACTGGTTCTGGTGGTTCTCCCTTCAGGCGCTACTACGACCTGGGCAATTTGAACAACTACACGTGCTCTGGCTATGACTCTGAACACCTCTGACGCACCCTCGCCCCTGCCACCCCCTGCTCCGAAATCACATGCGCCCACCCACGGACTAATCGGTCCCCCAACGAAAGAAAGGATAAGAAATACGCATGTCCACAAAATCCAACAAAACATAATCGACACAGAAGCAGGCACAGATGCAGAGCCACACGCTAAGACAGCTAGACTTACCACACACCCACACGCACCCACGCACCTGCGCACACACTTGGACTGACCCTCGATATGACCGAAGTCTCCGAAGTCATAACATGGGTAAGCAAGCAAGTCTCATCTCTTCGGTCAGATCTCTTCATTCACATGTACCTTTTCCTTGCTTTTCTTTTAACGGAAAATTGGGGCTGCATGTGTGTGACATGCGTTTCAATCCAGGAACACTTCGGTCCTCCCGGTGGGCTGTCGGTTTTGAGTTGCTGAAATCCTTGTCCCGGAGCCCGAAGATCGAGGGAAGTCGAGGCAGCCTTCTCCATGTCCGTATAGGGGTCACTCTGAAATCTTTGCTTCATATCTGCCGACACAAACAAACAAGTAAGCAAACAAACAGACAGACAAGCAAGCGCACAAAGACACAAACACCCACCCATCAACCCACGCACGTGCACGCAGACACAGAGTGACAGACATCATCGATGCGACAAAAAACATCCGTTGCGAAGGATGGTCTATCCGAATCGGATGCTCGGGCAGCAGCTGCTAGATGCTGGCATTGTGCAGTTTGCCCCTGGCAGCCAGCTGGACATCAAAAAGTCCATGGGCCTTTCGTCTGCCGAAAGGGTGTTCTGCTTCTTTTTCGTGCCAAAACGAGCAGCAGTTTAGATCCACGAGGCTTCAAGAATGGGCAGGTCTACTGCGTGGTCAGTCTCTCGGATCCTGCTCCCTGTGCATGGTAAATGAGATATGTCGAAGTTTGATGGCTGTCCTGCTGCATGTGATGAAGGCACCAATCGTCTTTGGCACCACGACCCCTTTGTCGTACGACTTCTGGGCAGTAGGCCGACGCGATGTCAGCGATGCAGCACTGATGCAAGGGTGTACAGAAGGTGTTTCTCTGCGTCCCATGGCAGGCATGGACTGTTGCAGCGGAAATCAGCCGGACTTCTCCTGCCGCATCTTGATGATTGGAACTCGTGTTGACGGTGATGCTGCTCTGACCAGCCCTCCACCATGATTCCATTGTCAATCTGAGGCAACTACAACAATCCGCAAGCCAGCGGTGGCATCAGGCCAGAAGTCGAAATGCCTCGCAGAACTGCAGCGGACTGACTGCATGTGAGGCTGATGAACAGCAACGATCGCGCGTACTACAGGCCCGGCATGGGCCGGAAGTAGACTTGTCGCGCCATGTTGTTGCATCAACGTTTGGGAGAACCCTGGGCAATGGAAGTTGATTGAAGAAATCGCAGACCTGGAAGTGCCCTCGAGAGCAGTAGATGTTGGTAGAACTAGAAATGACAACAACACAAGAAGGAGTACTAGCGGCAGTTGATATTGTCGTCGTGGCAGTGCAACCTTGACAACGTCCACTTACGCACTCACGAGAGCACCCATGTTCCCGCTGCAACATTTGCCAGTACATGCTACAACGCTGTCGTGTTAGCATCGTAACAGTGGTAGCTCACTGGATAGGAGCGGTCACCGTGCACGTATCCCAGCGGCAGAGCTTTAACCCGAGCAGTAGTAGTCGTGGTCGTAGTTGTAGTAGTGGTTGTACTGAGTAGTGATAGTAGCGGCAGCAGTGGTAGCAGTAGTGGTAGTTGGAGTAGTAGTAGCCGTCGTCGTGGCAGCAGCCGGAGCAGTCGAAGGTGCAGAAGCGGCAGCAGTCGCAGCAGGACGTCGCCATCGTAGCAGCAGCAGGAGCAGCAGGAGTAGGAGTAGTGGTGGTCCTGGTGGTAGCAATAATAATATCAGTAGGAATAGTAGCAATAATAGCGCGAATTATTAGTAGCGTAATAGTAATAGTAGTAGTAGTAGTAGTAGTAGTAGTAGTAGTAGTAGTAGTAGTAGTAGCAGTAGTAGTAGTAGTAGTAGTAGTAGTATAGCAATAGTAATAGTAGTAGTAATAGTAGTAGTAATAGTAGTAGTAGTAGTAGTAGTAGTAGTAGTAGTAGTAGTAGTAGTAGTAGTAGGCGGCCCCCCCCTACCAACCATCCCCTGGTGGGGGGGGGGGGGCTGATAACATACAGGCAGCCTCGAACATTGCCAGCGAGTATCCACAGGAACTGTTCACAGTAGCCCAGATGCTCCACGATGGTCTAGTGTATGGCTATATTTACTTTGCGAAGATACTTTTACCTGTTTGCCATTTTACTCGGTATTTACAGTACTTTCGGGATGTCCGCCATCTTATAAAGTTGCCAAGCAATGATTGCCAGCTCCAAAAAAACCTGCGAGACACGTGCAGTTGCAATCTGCCTGCCTCTCTGTTCTGTTCAAGTCGTGATGATGTTCGTTGCTGATGATGATGATGACGAAGATTTAACATACCAGATGAACTACTTTAAAGACCGAGTAAAACAAGCCTCCCCCCACCCAATTTCGAGTTTTCGCTGAAAGCCCTCGCAAAGGCAAACAACGTAGAAAAGTCCAGAGGCAGGCTTGGCAACTTTATAAGATGGCGGACATCCCGAAAGTACTGTAAATACCGAGTAAAATGGCTCTTGCGGAGATGTTGTTCGAGGTGTCCGCGTACCAATCTCGACTTCATTCTTCCCGCACACCCACGCACCCCCACAACAAAAGAATCCACAATCGGATGCTGGAGTTTGAAAACTCGGAGGTGAAATTTCTAGCTTCATAAGATACCGAGTCAAACGGATGTGGGTTACAAGAGTATGTAAAAGAGATGGTTGGTAGGGGGGGGTGGCTAGTAGTAGTAGTAGTAGTAGTAGTAGTAGTAGTAGTAGTAGTAGTAGTAGTAGTAGTAGAAGTAGCAGTAGCAGTAGCAGTAGAAATAGAAGTAGTAGTAGTAGTAGTAGTAGTAGTAGTAGTAGTAGTAGTAGTAGTAGTAGTAGTAGTAGTACTAGTAGTAGTAGTAGCGGGAGGGTTCAGTCACCGGTACGCAAGGAAGACCAGGTTTTTTCATGAAATTGTTATGGGCGAAACGCTGTAAAAGCCAGCGTTTCTGGCGTTCTGTGGAAGTCACGAAACGGCATCTGCCTATGGCGAAAGGCGTTATTCCTGTGTCTTTGTACCGTTGCGTGCTGTCCCGGACCGAAAATGCTGGAATGTGCTACACTCGCCTTTCATGTATTTGTAAATTTGTTTTTATGTTTTTGCACCTGGTCAAACCATACCCAAAACGACGTAGCCAAATATCAGGAAGGTTTTGTGTAGGCTCTTCTTTTGAATCTTGTGATTGTTCTTGCATCTTCTAGGTTCAAGGCAGGCCGAGAAGTATAATCACAGTATTTCTGTAACCAGGGTATAAGGCTGGCGCAATAAAAATCTGGAAGCTTCTATCAAACAGGGTTTAGGGTTAAGGGTTTAGGGCTGCATGCACGATCGTTGTTGATCTAGAAGGAAACATCGACAGGACGCCAAAAGTAGCGACAGTTCCTGTTTTCGCAGCATGATTCTTCTTTCTTGTTGAGTCAGAGAAACGTCTAGGTGTTAGAGTCAGCTCTGGCCGGGCCTCTGTTGCGTAAGATGACAGCCAGAAGCTATTGGCAAAAGGGGTTTAGGGTTGAGGGTTGTGTAAGCATTCAGGCGATTGCACAAGTCCTGATGCAAAAAAGGGTTCTGTGTGTGATCGTTGTTGATTCAGTGACAAAACGACAGAACCAGAAGGTAACGACTGTCCTTATGTTTGCGAGCATGACTCAAACTTCTGCTTGAAGGGACTGGAAGTTTAGGGCTTAGGGTGGCAAATTTCAATCTTAACGACGAGAACAACACTTTCGATGAAGGCCAACTCCCCTGCGTTTCCGCCCAGGATAGTCATAGGAAATCGAGTTTTGTTTCATCGACAGAGTTTAGGGTTGAAGTTCGTGCAGGAACATCACAATTTGCCACGGCGGGTTGCAAGGCATGCATGTCTGGCACGATAAAAATCCGACAGCTGCTATCGAAAGGGGTTGAGGGTTAGGCTGGCACTCGCGATCGATGTGATTTGAAAAAACATCGACCAGACCAAAAAAAGGTAGCGACAGTTCCTAGTTTTCCAAGCAGGAGTGTTTTGCTTCTTGTTCAATCGGAGAAACGTCCAGGGTTTACCCCGGGCGAAGTGGGAAGCCTGATGCAAAAAAGAGTCCGAGTTTTAGTTCTGACCGGGATGACAACCGGAAGCTACTAGCAAAAAGGGGTTTAATTGGGGTTTAGGGTTGCGTGTGTGATCGTTACTGACAGAGGGGAAAAGCGAAAGATCCGGCAAAAAACAGCGACTTTCCTTATGTTTTCGAGCATGATTCCAAAGTTCTGCTTGAAGGGACTAGAAGTTTAGAGTAGCAAAAAGGGTTGCAAATCAGTTCTTACAGCGAGAACGCGTACTTCGATTGTTGGATTTTCAAAGCATTCATTGCCCAACGCTAATGACGTCCCTGGTTTAATGTGTGGCTTGGAGATGCTGTAAACAAGTAGTAGTCGTCGTCGTTGTTGTGGTAGTAGGCGTATCTAGACGTAGTAGTAGTAGTAGTAGTAGTAGTAGTAGTAGTAGAGTAGTAGTAGAGTAGTATTCGTGGTAGTAGGAGTAGTAGTAGTAGTAGTAGTAGTAGTAGTAGTAGTAGTAGCCGTAGTAGTGGCAGTAGTGGTAGCAGTAGCAGTAGTAGCAGCAGGTGTAGTAGCTTAGTAGTCGTCGTCGTAGTAGTAGCAGTACCAGCAGCAGCAGTAGTCGCGTAGTGATTCGGTTCTGATCCAGCTTTCAAGGCCGCAGCTACCCCTACGACTTTGTTCTATGACGACGACGACGACTACTACTACTACTTCTACTACTTACTACTACTTACTACTACTTACTACTACTTACTACTACTTACTTCTACTTACTACTACTTACTACTACCTACTACTACTTACTACTACTTACTACTACTTACTACTACTTACTACTACTTACTACTACTTACGACTACTTACTACTACTACCACACTACTACTAGAATACTACTAAACTACTACTACTACTGCTACTACTGCTACTACTACTACTACTACCACTACCACTACCACTACTACTACTACTACTACTACTACTACTACTACTACTACGACTACTACGACTACTACGACTACGACTACTACGACTACTACGACTACTACGACTACTACTACTACTACTACTACTACTACTACTACTGCTACCGCTTCTTCTTCTGCTTCTGCTACTACTACTTCTACCACCGCTACCACTACCACTACCACCACCACGACCACTACCACCACCCCACTACTACCACTTCCACCACATGCTAAGCCCCAGGTTCTCCTTTAAAGCCTGTAGTTCTATGCTCGAATCCTCGTGGCTGGTCCGAGCGTGAAAGCGAAGGCTTTAGAGGGGAATATCGGGGCGAGTGTTGAGTCTGAGCTGGTGTGCAGCAAAACCTGGCATTTACGGAGGCATCACAAAGAGTGGCCAGAAACCGAACAAGAGCAGCTACTTCTATGCAGAGTGGCATAGCAACAGTTTTTGCAGCGTGGAGGGTGCCCCGCCCAACATACCTCTTTCGTGAGGCTGGCGGTTCAGCAGGCCGAGGCGACATACGACATCAAGGCCTAGTCTTCTTCAGAGGTCATTGCGTAGCAGACGACAGTGTGGAGCGCGTTTTGGGGTGCATGGCTTTTCAGTCCTCAACACACAGGGAGGCTCAGCATTTGCTTCCACCAACTGACCTTCAGTGGCGTGCTTCTGCCCCAAACGACATGTCGCATCTACTGCATCACTGGCTATTTAGCCAAGGCTGACGATAGGTATGGAATTCGCCAGAAGAGAATGCGGCTACGTCGCTGTGGGGTTGTTACTGAAGGGAGCTTTGCATTGCAGATTCGCTCTGTCGGAACACCTAGGCCGTTCCAGCACAAGCTGAGCACAAGTAGAGCCATGAGAGATAACAAGCGATAAGCTGGCATGATTCTTACGCTTTCTTACGCAGCGAAGAGCTGTCCAGTGAAAACGACGCTAATGACTTCTCCCGAGATGCTTCCGCTATTGTGCTTTGCAGTTCACAAGCGTTCAGGCCTCGCATCCTCTGTTCTTCTACTGGGAGGTGGAGCCTTCGAAGAAGGCGCACTCGCTGAGTTGGTGAATCAATTTTTGCTTGCCCCAAGCGATCACGGCCGTGGGAGGTGCAACAATGGCTGGTTGACGGCCATGCCGACCTCGCTGCATGGATTTTGTCCTACCTTGTCTTCCAGCAGCTCGTCTGGCACATTTTTCGGCCCTATGCCCTATGCCTAGAATTCGAGTTCGAGTTCGGGCCGTGTGTGGTAAATGTCAAGCCCAGGATCTTCATCGTTGCCATCGCTGCTGTAGTGTTCTCCAAGATTGGCCACCAGTAAATGGGGTGGATGCCGGAGACATGCACTTCGCAAGACCTTGTGCAGAAAAGTCCCATCTCCCTGGTAAACGCAGTGGAGTTTCATGTCGCTGGAGGCACTAGGCCACTGCCAAGAGACTGCGTTTCATGGCATGTTCGAGGTGCTCTGATGGCTTTCATACGGGCTGAAGATGCAGATGGAGCACGCGAAATGCTGCAGCAGATGGTGCCTTTGTCACTTCTGTCGACAGTACCTGCACAGACTCCAGCCAGCTCAGTCCATGTTAGGTGCATGAGTCAGCACCTGTCGCATGTTTCTCCCCGGTTTCGTGAAGGTAAGGACGAAGCTGTTCAATCAAGTCACCGTGTCTTGCCCAAGATTGGCCAGGACATGCTGACTTATCTCGGTTTGAGTCATCTGGATGATCTTGGGTTCTCTTGGCTCCCTGCATCCCGAGGCTTCCCTGGCCGCTCGCATAGGGCACCAGAACTTGGAGGTAGCTGTGTTGTGACGTGCTGTGACTTCTGGCGCTTTGGCACTGGTGATTTGTGACAATGCCGCAGTTTCCACTCCCCGACTGCTCCCCAAGAGAGGTGTGCATTCAGTTTAGCCGGTGTTCACAGTTCACAGCAGGTGTTTGTTTCGCAGTGGTAGTCAGACCCTTGCTGCCATGGATCCCGTAGACCTGGTTGCGGCTCAGAAGCTGGAGGATTTTGCGGCGCGGGCTCACCCAGAGGATGCTCTGAAATGGTCGCTGTACTCCGGGGACTACGTACGCTTGCGTTGTCTGGGCCCCATGCTGCCTCATGCCCCTACGAAGCAAGCATTGTCTCCGAAGGGTCGAAAGGCGATTAGTTTAGCATGCCAGGCATGGAGACATCTGCAGAAGCATATGTTGTATTCAACCCACCGGATATGACGGCCGACGAAGACAACGATGGCAGTTGTGTCTTGGCCAGAAATCCGACGCAAGCTCAGCTACGCAAATGGCTGGCAAATGGCGCAACGGCTTGCGGTAATTTCGCAAGCTTCTCGCATTTTTGAGAATCAATAAGGCCCTCTTCAAGGCGAGCTTTGGGTCGCACCACGCTTGCGAAGCTTGCTAGGAGGCATAGCTTCTCCAGCTCGATTAGCTTGCCGAAGTGGTTGCCCTTAACCGGCTCGAAGTGAGCAAAACTTTGACCAGGCAACAAGGTAGAACTGGAAATGGCCGAGATAGAGGAGGCCTCCTTAGTAAAGCTTGGCGACTTGGTCGAGCTTGGCCGAGCTAGCTCGAGCATGCAAAGAGCCTTCGCCCCTTCGGCAGCTCAGGTGGCGTCCCCCCAGAGGATCGGTTTGTTCTTGATTCGTGCTTGGACTCTTTGATCTCTGTTGCAATTCGCGAGTTGAATCTGCAAGCTTGTCGGAGTGCTCCCACTTGCTCTTGTTGTGGAACAAGTGCAAGCACGCAGGCCATGCATGAGATGCACATCTTTTTCGGGACCGCCAGTGGCCAAAGCCATCTCACGTTACAGGGACTGGCCGAGGACGGGTGGAGTGCAGAAAAGCCATGCATAACCTTGAGGGACTGGCCTGCGATGAGGAGGAAGACTTGGATTTCGATGATGACGTTCTCGAGTATTGGCAGGCTTACGTGGAGAAGGGTCGCTGTGCAATGCGGCCTGTTTGGAGAGGCATGACCTTCAAGGTGCCCATGCCAGATGCTGCAGAGACAAGCCTCAGTGGTCATTCAATCACCTTCGCGTCTTTGGGACGTGGTGGTTTCCATGTCAGACAAGACGAGGATTCATGCCCCAACGCCTCCTGCGTCCGTGTGGAGGCTGTTTTCGGACCCGGCGGGAGGCCGGTGGATGCAGCTATTGTCGGGCCAGCAACCCGCTTAGAGGGGGACGCCTGTCGAGCTGCAGCTCCAGCTGCCTGAAGGTGCCCTGCGATGCCTGCGCATGCTTCTCAGGTCAAGATGTACAGAATCATAGTACAGCGCTGAGTGCTGCGTAGGACATACTTGCCTTCACGGGTCTCGCTGCAAAAAAGCCGTTTCTAGGATACGTTGCACTGCTGCATTTTGCACTTCATGTGCCTGGAAGAGCTTGGGAACTCGGGCCTGGCTGCTTGCGTGAACAGGCTGGAGTTGAGCCTGCGGCGATTGTGGATATCACATTGCGGCGACGCCCTACATGCCAATCACGCTATGAAGACTTCCACTACAAGGTTGGGTCAGGCTGGGGTTGCTGGTTTGTTTTCCCCTCTGTTCCTGCAGGAAGCGAGTGTGCTGGAGACAGTGGTCAGGGAAGCGAGTGCTCGAGACGTGAAAAGCGCAGCGGCCCCAAGTTGGCAAGTTGCCCACGGCTTACCGGCTTGGCGTGTACGGAAGGTCCACGCTTGTATCGAGAATGTGGGACTGAAGGAGGTTTGGCTCAAGATAGCTGGTGGGGAGAAGGCAGAGAGAAGCTTTAACAATTTCTTCTCTGCAGTGCAGATGGATGCAGATGCCTTTCCTGAGAGGCCTGCGTGATTGATAATGTCATTGCGAAGCAAAGGCCAAAGCTGCCGCTTGGCAATCCGAAATCCGAATCTCGTGTGATCAGCCATGGCCTTCCAAGCCCAGGATCCTCGAATTCGGTACCTATGTGGGCTACACGATACTCGACACAAAGGTTGGCAGGAAGCGGTGTATTTGTGAATGCGAGCTTGTCCAAGGTCCACACGAATGGCGCTGCAAGTTGACACGTGGAATGGCAAGGTGGTGACAATGGAGATGGATCCGGTCAATGCCTGCCAGCTGAATTCTACCCGTGCTTGTCCATCCGTGGCGCTTTCTCCTCGCCTCAGCCTGGCTGCAGAGCCGAAAGACCGCTCCGAAGAGCTGGGGCACAGAGATTTACTGTAGGTTCGGCCTGGATGCAAGAAAAGCTTCGGCAGTTATACAGAACGGACAAAGCAGCGAAACAGACCTGCGTATTGTTTGCTGTCACCTTTGACTTGTCCCCGCCCCCTACACCTCATGCCTTCGTTTCCGGTTTTCGGATCTGAGCCTCACCCCTGTAATGTCCGTGTCGTTTTCGATGACTCTCAACCTCAAAAACCCAGCTTCGGAAAGCCAGAGCTGCAAGGCTTTATCTCCGTCATTATGTGGTAGACCTGCTGTGCGAGTTTTCGTTAAGTCCACCATTCGCTGTGTGGGAATGATGTGACAAGCCACCTGGCCCATCTCAAGAGTATTTTGGTCTGCTGCGTTTCTGCGAGTCTTAACAGTCGCCCAGTCCCCACTAATGTTGTTTGGCAGACGCTGCAAAACAGGAAAAAGATATCTTTCCCACTCAACTGCACCCAAGGCGACCATTGCACCTCAGCAGCAGTGGGCTTTCCACAAACTGCCTTGTTGTGGGAGAGCCTGCTTTCGAGGAAAGCCATAAGTGCGTGAGTTCATGTTACGATCTCAAAAGGCCCGGAACCACATCGAGATGGCCGGCCTCTCACATGTTGTGACTGTCCAGCTTGGCCACTCTGACGATGCCGTGCAATTAGTCCTCGAGAAGTATGGCGAGCGCAGTGTTGACATGGTTTCTCAGCTGACTTTACTGTAAGTCTGTAAGTCAAAGATGCAATTTGCTTTCTTCATCGGCCCCCGTTCTGTTCTGACTTGAGCTCGGGGTTGGAGGGGCAGGCATAGCTGTAGAGCCCTGCTTACAAGCAACCACACATCTTGGCGATCTCTTCTCGTGCAGTGTCTTGTTTCGGCTTCTCGGAAGAACCACTCGGTGGAGAGGTCTTCATGGATCAGCGCGGGACAGCTGCATGACTGCAATGGGTCTCGTCACTTCTTGTCCTTTGCGTACTCAGGCAAGGCGGCTAGTGCATCTTCATGTTGTTTGGCATTCGATCCCCATTCCTGCACTTGCGTACACCGAGCACCAGACTACGAGGCTTTCCACGACGATTTGCGGAACTTGGATGCTTAGAAGAAGAAGAAACTTTAATTGGAGCACGACTGTGCATGTGGACCGAAATCAATGGATCAAGTCTTCCCAGGAAGAAATCAACATTCTGGCAGACAATGCGGTTGTCGTCGCCGCAGCTCGGTGAATCATTCATTCACAGGTACTCCGGCTTGCACTTGCGTGTTTTCCGGCATGCAAAACATTGCATTTAAATTGACATGCTGCCCTCGGCCGCTCACCACGCCCAGGACAATGTGTTGAAACCTGGAGCTCCATATCACGCGAAACTTCAGCACATTCGGCTTCAATGTTTCAGCAGTATGCCGCGTGCTTTCTTGAAAGGTGTGGAGAATCTCTACATTGCCACACTATGCCACCGTTTCGAAGCAGCATCTACGATGTGCTTGAAGAAAGCACCCACCAGCGAGCGACGCATGTGTCAACGGGCGAGGATATAATCGATTTGCGTGAATTCGGCTCGGCACCTGTAGAGGAGTGGGGAAAGGCTTCGCCCAGCTTTGGATTTGTCATTCCGTAACGGCACTTTGCCGAAGGACTGGATGACTGTTTCATGGGTCTCGCGCGGAAACAGCTATGGAAAGCTCCCCGTCGACGTGCGTGAACTGAATGAGCTGGCCCGAGAATCTGACAGGTTCAGGTCGGATGTGCAAGACTTTGGTTTTTTTTCGGTGTACTTGTCCGATTGATTGTCGACGGTGGTTGGCAGCCGGTTGGCAGGTTGAAAGCCATGGCAACATCCATGAAAGATCTGGTTGGCGATCCTCTCGACGAGTTTGCCAAGAAGTTCACGGAAGAGTTCGTGAAGCTCGGTATCAGGCTCTCCATCTGTGTTTGGCAATCGAGCCGCCTGCCCAGACACCGTCACAGACCTGCCTGCAGGACCAGCATGTACGTGCGCACAGACATCATTGATGGGTGCGCAGTGTCCAAACTGGTGCAGTTGGGGCCCGGTGAGACTCCTCCGTCGTGGGGTGGAGAGGCCCGCGTTTGGTCATACAGTATGTCATACATAGTTTCGATAGATTCCAGAATATTGGTTTTATTTGTGTGCGGAGGATCCCCGTGATGAGATTCAAGGTGGACAGTGGAAGGGCGTACTCGGCGGAGTGCACTTCCGCGGAGAACGGCTGCAGAACGCCGAAAGACTTGGCTACCCTGGTACAGTTGGCGACGTGCACGGATCTCTGCCTCAATTACATTGTGCGTATGTGTGTTTATGCGTGTGCGTGTGTTTGTGCGGGGAGGCCCTCGCTAGGAATGTTGACAACAGTGCTTTTTCAGCAGAGGGGTACGGCTGTCTGATGCTACCATATCCTGCGAAGCTGTGAATCGGAGAGGAAAGCCAAACCTGATGTACAACAAGCCGTCCCCAAGCACACTAAAATCACAAAACAGCTGTTACTTAAGCCTTTGGCCCATCAGTGAGTATGATTCCTGACTTCAGCAGAATATGGCCCGGGGCTAAGCCAGGTACCTCAAAGCCGTTTCTGTATTGTAAGACTGTATGAGGCTGCCTATGTGGCTGAAGATCTTTGCTTCTGAAGGTTGAATAGAGGAAAAAAGTCAAGTCAGAGAGAGGGCTGCACAAGTTTGTTTCCACACGATTTTTTGTTCAACGTGCCGTCTACAGTCGGAGAGCCTGCTGCATTGAACCCCAGAACGCGTTGCACCGGGCCGGTTGGAAATCATCGCAGTATCCGGAGATTCGGTTGACGTGGTTAAGACATTCATTTCTCAACGATGCTGGGAACAAGCTGGTCGATTTAGACCCCCTATCGGTTTATCAATTTGCTCAGACCAGGTCGACACATGCCGTTTCTTCGACCAGTAACTGATTTCGACACATTACAGATTATTCAAGCACAAGTTGCACGGCAGAGAGAGAGAGAGAGAGAAGCACAAGTTGTTTGCTACATGTATTTGATTTGTTGTTTCACCGTATGATGCATTGCAATGCTTCCATCTCCACCTTGTTATGCTAAGAAGTAATGCTTATCAGCCCATCCTAGATCCACAGCCGACGCACGGACGCCTTTATGGCTTGCTGTGTGTGGGGCTATGACCGAGGGATTGGAATACTGGCAGCAGTGTTGTTTCAGCATGGGGGTGCGGCTCTCTGATGCTACCGTACCCAACGAAGCTATGCATCAGAGAGGGACGCCAAGCCTGATCAGCTTGGTGTACCTGCACACTGTCGTTTATGCCTTTGGCCCCTCATTGAGTGCGATTTCTTGCTGCGGCCGGACCGGGGCAGTGCCTGCCGGACAGTAACTGCTCGGTGGCATTTGGCTTGTACTTGATCAGCCAGTCGGGGTAAGTGCGTCTTTCCTTGGTTCCATCAGTGGCCAGAGGATAAAGCCAAGAACTTCTTTTCTGTCTTGCGGCTTTAGAACCTCAATAGGCTGTAGAGTTTTACTTGCACACAGTTCCGGTGCCATGTTGCACTCGTTGAAATGGTCATCGACTTCTTAGGTACGTATGCAGCGATTACTACCTTCCAGCGTCGTGGGCATTGATGTGATCAATGAGACATATGCCCTTATTCGCGTGTGTCGGTGAGCGTGCGCGGTTCGTGGGTGGTTGGGCGGGTGGGCGCCTGTGGGCACGAGCTGGTACGCACGAGCTCATGCGTGCGGGTGCGTGTCGGCCTGCATGTATGTAGAATTACAGTAGTTAGCTTGTTTAGACTGTTTCTGGCTGTTATGTGCTCGGTGGATGTAAGGATTGCAAAAACCTCAATCATTTGTGAGCAGATGCTACGTGAGTGTACCGGGCAACATTTGCAAGAAAGTTGCTGCGCTGCTCAGGCTACAAAGGTGAATGGCCCCGCATACCTCCAGGAGGTTAGCAAGCGATGCAGGCTGTACCCGAAAAGAGACTTACATTGGAGTCTTCTTGAATCTTCAATATTGGGTTCAGAGTGGGTTGCATGGACCCGCTGCTTCTAGCAGCTGCGAGGCAAAATTTAACGAGCTATCGATGCCGGAGAATGGTCCGGGGCGGTTTGGATATATAGGCATTTGTACAGG